ATATAGATGTGTGTGTGTGAGGGGTATATATATAGACCCGTGCGTGTCGTGCTCGCACACGCACATGTGCTTACTACTTTTCTGGTACTAATCACTCCCAAACATTCTTTTGGAGCGGTGCAGATAATTCCTATTGATTCGCTCAAAAGCCGAGACACTGTGGGTAGTCACGGTGACGAAGTAGCTGATGAAACCGTGTTTCTGCTGGCGATGCTGATTGAATATGAGGAGAAGAGGTATGTATGTACATTTGCATTACATTCATCTAGGGACGATCATTGTATTTATAATATGTATATGTGCTTATCTACAAATACTTGAAGGTGCAATTACATGCCATGTTTATATAGCTTGTTTTTGTTGCGTAAACCTGAGCTTGACGAGTTTGTGTACCTATCGGCGAGTCCATTGAATATGTACAATATTGATCTTATGTAAATACACACACATATATATATATATATTTATATGTATGTATGTATGTATGTAGCCTGCGCACACAAAGGATCACAAACACACCTTCCCATTCGATACAACTCCTGCCCAGATACCATCTACAAGACCTCAGTGGCCACGTACGCTGCGATCTGGAATACGCCGAGACCACCACCGGCATGTTTACAGAGCAGTGCATAGTGCTTGCAGAAGGTGTGTACGCAAACAACATCTTTCACGTCAAAGTACTTGCTCATCCACCACCCGAGAAGGCTTCGGTTACCAGAGACATATTCAGAGACATCGACCTCTTCGGCGGAGAGAGGCACCGCAAGGAGTTGGACAAGTTGGCGGTCAAGGAGAAGGTGTGTGTGCACTATAAGCACTGTATAAGCACTGTGATTGAGGACTGTTCCGAGAAGTGCGTGTGTACGTTGTAGTATACTCTTAGATACGTACACCTATGAGCCTATGGACCCCTCTGTCGGGTCGTGATCGTCTGTACATAGCGTTGGGTACGTGCGTTGTGCTTTGTGTGCGGGACTGCGACCCTTGCACCTCCACACAAAGCATCCGCTCACCATTCGTTGTTTCAATCCGCGGGGCGTGTGTCTCTGTGCTCACGGCCGTTCACTTACATCTCATGGCGCGCAGGTGCCTACGCGCTTCCCGTTTGTGTGTATATACTCATCTGTGTGCGTTCTGCACATATATCAGTTACGAACATAAATCGCCTGCCCGGTCTTCCCTATTTCTCGCTGTCCCAAACCCTTTGAGACAACCCACACACAGCCTACTTCAACACACATTACAACCGCACTAAAGCACATCCCACCACATACCCCCTTCCCCCCTCCCTTTCCCCCCTCGGCCGTTGCTTTCACCACCATGCACAGACACTGGAGAACACCTTCTTTGTAATCCTGTCGGATGTTTGGCTAGACAACGAGTCGGTGCGAACCAAGCTGAAGGATCTGTTTGCCGGGTACATGCACGCAGTTCCCGATGCCTTCATCTTCATTGGCAGCTTCAGTGAGAAGACGTATGGCGCCGACCACCCTAGACGCGTGCGAGGTACGAAGACTACTTTCTGAGCTTACTCTATTATGTTCGTATGTAGTGTATGTATCGAATCGCGGCTGTATGTATGTCATCGTGTATTTATATATTTATATACGCTGTGTGCCTGTGATGTGCAGAGGCTCATTGTGACTGGTGTCCCCCTACCCAATCGCTATCCAACGTTGTCAAAATACCAATCAAAGATAGTCGGTACTCACCTACTCTCGAGCAGTTCAACTGAATACCACATAATAGTCCAACAACACTAATCACCTATCCACACACTCTCCTTGCAGAGGGATTGAGTAACCTGGGTAGCATGATCCGTCAGCACCAGAGCCTGATCAACGTTCCCTGCATATTCGTCCCGTCTGCGGCAGACCCACCCGGCGGCGATCTATTGCCGCGCAAACCACTACCACCGGCAATTACTAAGGATATACGGGAAAAGCTACCGAACTGCCGATTTGTCAGTAATCCTTGTAGGTAAGTAACATTGTAGATAACTAGATAGTATGAATGTAGGTAAGTAGCACTGTAGATAGCTAGACAGTATGGTTGTAGGTAAGTAGGACTGTAGAGAGCTAGACAGTATGTTTGTAGGTAAGTAGCACTGTAGATAGCTAGACAGTATGATTGTAGGTGAGTATTATTGAAGATAGCTAGATGGTGTGCGGTGTGTAGGGTTTGGTGGGCTAGGGTTCTCGCGATAGATGCAGCAAATTCGCTGTTTGAATGACAGGCTACTCGATGGAGCACTCCCAGTAGGTAGAATTCCCATTTCTAGGCAGCGAAGTATCAGTGTTGTAGGTGTGGGGTATGACACTACTTTCAGTAGATACGCAAACCTGGAGAACTGATTTTCGAGGTACTGAACACTCATTTCGTCGGCAATGTTGTAGGCATGGAGCTCTATACGTACAGTAGATAAGTCGCACGCTTTACCCGCGATGCCTAAACATAAGCACACGTCTTCATGAGTCTAGCACGCGTCCCATTCTCCGCGTAACAATCTAACTAGTCCTTTGTGTATGGTACAATGGCTGCATGACCTCGCGAGTGAATCTCTCTCTGCACGCTTCACCGCCACTCGTCTGTGCGTCTGTTCTTTGAATGTCAGCTCGAGTTACAGTACTGGCGCTCATTTAGTGTGCGCTGTAGTGCCGTTTTGGCACTGGACTCGTTGCGGTATTATGGGCAGGCGCTCAGAAGTAGGGCGACCATCTCCACTCGTTCGTGAACGATCCTCATAGTTATACTATCATTGTCAAGTATCTATAACAAACACGCCTGAACCCAGACTTTTAGCTAACAATCGCTCCCAATCCCTTTGCCCAATGCTGATAGGATACGATGGTACTCCCAGGAGATTGTAATATATAGAGAGGATGTCACAGCCAAAATGCAGCGTCACTGTTTAGTGCCACTCGACACGAGGGAAACGGACGCTGTGCACAAACACGTATGTACACTCTCTCCACGTACATACGCAGACACATCCATATACATGAATGCATACACAGGCACACATACACATACACTCACTCACTCACGCACACACACGCACACACACACACACACACACACACACACACACATAATGCGTTTAAATGCTCCTGCTCCTGCACTAGGTATAGCCGTTCAAAAGTTCGATGTCTACACGCTTGCTATACACACATCACATATGCTCACATGAATGTGCATGCCTAAAGGGATGCGTATATGTATAAGCGCCGGCCCGTTAACATGTAGGTGCACCCATTCCCATTCGTCGATGTTATGTTTATGCATGCTTTGGTGCGAGTTTGGAATAAGCTGAGGTGTCAACTCTTGCACAGGCAACCCTTGCCACGGCTGATATCCGTTATGTTACTTTACACAATAAGCAAAACCCGAATCCACGATCACGTGATGTTACTATTACGACTAGTAGTGAATCTTCACAATTGTGATGTATAAGTCATTATGACGTGCTCCTATCCAGGCACGTTACTGAGTTCACAGATCTGCTGACTAACTAGGCGCAACTATTTCCACTGTACCACCTCTCCACGGCCATTGTGAACGCTCTTATATATTCAAGCACATACAATGCACCAGCTGCACGATGAACCTATCTACCACACGCTGTGGGACGGAATGGCTATCTCGTTGTTAGCGTTCACACAGGAGGTCTGTGTTTATACAACCTGTACCTGTAAACATGTACTACTTGTTCGAATCCCATGGCTAACTCGCATCCTCCATGTTTCGCCGCACCCGTCCAGCTGGTGCGTACGTTGATGGATCAAGCACACCTGTCCCCACTGCCAGGTAGACTACGACCCCTGCAGATAGGCTATGAGCATACAATGCGCCTGTACCCGCACCCCGATGTGGTATGTGGATGCACATGCTATGTAGTGTGCAATAGTGCTGAGCCTATGAGAGTGGATGGTTGCTTATAGGTGGGAAACAGGTTTCTGAAGGTTATGTCTCGAGGAATTGACTGTGAGTACACTTGCTGCTATACTTGCACACTAAAATAGTTAGTATGTACGCTTGTTATTATTTCCACTGTGTTGCAAGAGATGCAAAGATACTTTCATTCTTATCAGGAAAAACAGGTATGATGTGTATAGATTCTATATATCGAAATTGCCTCCACGGAAAGCCTGTTTACTTGAACATGTATATGGGTATATATATATTTATATTTATATATATATATATATGTATGTATGTATGTATGTATGTATGTACATATATATATATATATATATATATATGTGTGTGTGTGTGTATGTGTGTGTGTGTGTGTGTGTGTGTGTGTGTATCTATGTGTGAATGTATTTATGTTTCTATGTATCTATGTATAAATTAATGTCTGTCATTATAAAATTTTATATAGTATAGTATATATATATATATATATATATATATATATATATATAAATAAACATATATATATATATATATATATATAATATGTATATGTATTTATATATTGCACGATATTGCGATCGCTTGTGAAAATACATGTCTGATCAATCGAATTGACTATACTCTTGCCTATTCCGTTGATGCCAGCAGAGTATGAGGCCACATCCTCAAACTGAAGTGGCAGCTGACTATAACGTCTTCTGCTAACGCAAGCAATTTTGCAAAGTTATTAATAGGCACGTACACAATGTGCTTCATGCACCCATGCATAACAAACTGGATACAAATATGCCATTATCTGCTTGCCCATTCGGATGCGTTGTGTGATTATAGATGCCTACATCACACATACGCGTAGGACCAACTCGACCTGGCGATTGTATTTATACATGTGTACACTAACACCGTCGATGGCCTTTGTCCACGCCATACATTTACACCCGCGCATCGGTGTGGAATGTGTAAACATTTGTTCTAAACGCATGTGTGCATGAAGTTGGGACAGGGCTTGGTTAGGTGTACAGACGCACATGCATAATGCCTATCCCCTTGCCCTAATGTGGGTTGTTGGCCTCACTGCCTATATGCGTCTATAACGTCTCTTCGCCGTGCCGTCGTCATCACAGTATCTGTGCTTCTGAACCTCCACATCACACGTGCCGCGGCCTCAATGTGCATGCCCTTGACCACATACACCATCACTGTATGCGGCTGCCTAGGGAGTATTGTCCGCATACGATACACTAATGTAACAGCTCCAAGCGATGAGATACTCACCCGAAAGCTCTGCAAATGACATTCATAACTTAATTAATATCAAACCCATTATGCAGGTAACTTTCTGAACCACAAACATATCTCGTACTTCATCGCACAAGTTTACGCCCTATGCGCGACTGAAGCTCCTTCACTTACGATGCACACATCCCCCACTGCAAAAACAAACTACAAACCTGGCCAAAAAATCAACCATCTCTAATTTGGTGCCCATCTCTTGTCTTTTCTTCACTTCCAATAGCTTATAATAGCGGATAAACATGAGAGCTACGATATACACTACGAAGATGCGTTATGTTTCAATCCCGGCTCTTTCTATCAATCTGGATTTTCATTTGTAGCCTACTGGCCTGCCGCAAAAACGGTGGAACCGTCGAGTTTGAGTTGATAATAAATGATCCAAGTAATACTCGTAGCTATATTGCTCACATTTATTGGAAATATTTCTAGTATCTGATCTTTGGAGCAGATTCACTAGGTATCTGGGCCGTAGTTCGGAACGCCGCCGTAAAGTAGTGTTACTGCAATTATTGTATAATATGCATCACAGGAACGACGCTGGGTGAATATTGTAAAGGCAACATTTGCAATCAATCCACAATGGAAATCTGTATCTTTGCATATATCCGTACGTGTTCGACTGGCATTAAAATAAGCTTGCGACCGTTCCATACACATGAGCATGTAAATGTTCAATTCGCGTACTCACTAAATGTCCAATGCACATACGATAATGATTGTCTTCAATTTCGCATACGGAAATGTCATATGAATGAGGCACATAGGTATGTGTGTATATGCGCTGGTCTATACGATTTTATTTGCAAATTTATTCCAGAAACTGTACTTTTCTT